TTTTGAAAAGCATTTCTAATGGATTTGTTACTAAGTAGAAGTTACAAAAAAATTACCCTTGCTAGATAGTGATGCAAAACCACACAAGCAAGACATAAGACCCCTGTCATGGCTTACCTTGCTCAGAAATGTGGGTATGTAATAAGTAGTATAAGATCAAATGCAAATCTTCACTAATGGAAGGTCTCCATTAAAGATACCATGGTTGAGATAAATTCAAACTAAAGTACGGTCTTTTTCATCTATGAGTAAAAGAGCTAATGCAACGAAAGTGTTGCACAATTGAATAGAATAAAATGTCATGAATTTCACATTAGTAAAAGATGGGTGGGTCTTGGGTTTATAAACAAGGACCTTCCTCTAGTTGATAAGCATTTTTTTTTTGTTGGACATGTGGGTTCGAGAGATGACCAAGGTAATAGCAAGAGCTTGGATGGTAGGAAGAGCAGAAAATGAGGAGAAACAGAAAAAGATGATATGGTAGAATCAGTTGGCCATTTATACACGTCATTTTTAAGTTTCTCCATTATTACTCATGCCTCTCGGCGAAAATTTTTCAAATTGAAATTGAACTCTTTTTCATGCTTGGTACATAAAGAACATTTAAAAGATGGCACATAGATCCTTGTTCCTCCTAAACCCAATCAAAATGTTGTTCGTTGCAAGTGGATATTTCCTGTCAAACGAAATTTGAATGGTTCTCTCAATAAATATAAAGCTTGTCTTGGTGCTAAAGGGTTCATGAACGACCTGACCTTGACTATATTGATACTTTCAACTTTGTAGTTAAACCCACAATTGTTCATATAGTATCACGCGTAGCATTGTCCAAGAACTAGTGTCTTTGATAGCCTAATGTCAACCTTTCTAAAACTGTTTTCATGTCAGTCTTTTGGATTCATTGATGTGGACTTTCCCACTCATGTTTGCAAGCTTTGCAAAGCAATATAAGGTCTAAACCAAGCTCCTCGATTTTGGTATTATGAGCTTCACACATATCTCTTATATTTTGGATTTATCAACTCACAATTAGATCAATCATTATTTATCTTCTCTTATCATACTGTCACAATGTATTTACTTGTTTATGTTGATGATTAAATTATCACGTGTAGTGATTCAAGAATTGTCAACCGATTCATTAAACATCTTGAAGACTGGTTTTCCATTTAAGATCTTAGCACTCAGTATTTTTTGGGCATTGAGGTCATTCATTCTCCCACAAGGTTTTTTTATTCTCGGAAAAAGTACATTACTAATCTTCTTGATCGTATTCACACGAGTGGTGCCAACATTGTTACTACTCCTTTGTTTACCAACACCAACTTGTCTTTGAATGATAGTTCTCACCTCAACGATTCCAATGAGTATAGACATGTTGTTGGCAATCTTCAATATTTGTCCTTTCCATGTCCTGGCATTGCTTATGTTGTTAATCATTTGTCACAATTTATGCATTATCCAACCACAAATCATTACAATGTTGCTAAACATGTTCTTCGATCTCTCAAGGGAACTCTACATCGTGGTATCGTTCTCCATCTCGTAATTCACTGCTCACACTTCATGCTTTCTCCATTACAAATTAGGTTGGCAACAAAAATGATTGCACATCCACAAGTGTATATATTCTATTTCTTGGCAACAATCTGATCTTATGGAGCTCGCGAAATCAGCATTCTGTTGCATGTTCCTCAACAAAAGCTAAATACCGTGCCGTCACTTCCACCACGGCTGAGTTATGTTGGGTTCAATCTCTTATACATGAACTCTCAATTGAGGATTATAATTTGTAATTTATTTATTTAATTTATATTATTTTCACAAAAATATATCGTTAGAATTGATAAATTCAATTTCAATGTACTATATATTGATTTGAATTATTAATAAGATGAGTTGAATTCTTTTCTCTATACTGCATATATGAAAAAGAAGAAAGCAAAATAATCGGGCTGCCGATGAGGCAAGAAGCTAAAAAAAAAAAAACTGCTTCCTCGCACAACAAAAAAGAACCGTGGAACAAACCAGCATCATCCCACCGCAACCAGTTGCCACCTTTTTGTACATCAACCTATCATCACTTACAGCAGCATCCTATCAATGCTGAGTGTGAGAATATGAGATTTATTAATGGGTTCCATTGTTATCCTCGTCGCCTCCTAAGGGCAATGTTTCAGGTTCTCGTGAACGTGGGCAAGAGTAACACAGTAAAAGTTGCAGACTGGTGAAAGAGCTATTTAATTGTGTAAATACTAATAATGTGGCGACAGATCCGCTTAGCACAAGCTTGTTTCGAATATATGCAAAAGACACATGATGAACCCACCGACTTGGCTTTGGTTGTCTAATCAGTCAAACATTGCTTGACTTTCTGAACCCGTCCATGCTTTTGATTGCGACCATTACCACCCTGATAATCTTTTTATTTATATAAAAAGAGGCCCACGAAATGGTTATGTTAATGTTTTTTTTTTGTTTGATTAAGTGAAAACTAGTACTATCTAAATCCTGATTTCAAATTAATCAATAAAATGGGCATGCTAATAAACTTTATCTTATAAAGTTTATTGTAAAATTACAATGAAAATATATTGCAAAATCTTTATCTTATAAAGACTGTGCTAGTTTTTGTGCGAAATTCTCAAAATGAAATAACCTACAACCGGATATCAAGCTTCATTTAGTTTGGTGGTTGTTGGACGTATCAGTGGAGACAATAAAGATCTGTACCCAAAATTAAAGACAGTCAAGACAGCATGGGGTCATCATCTTCATCATGGCTGGAGTCCTCAAAGTACATTGAAGCCCTTACTCGACAGCTACGATGAGGGTTCTTTCAGTCCGTCACGAGAAAGGGCTCGAATTCGAATTGGTCCCCGTCGACTTGGGAGCTCGTGAACATAAAAAGGAATCTTACCTTTCCCTCAATGTAAGCACATTGATAACAGATCTCTTACCATGTTTTAGCTGATATCCACTGATACTATAATGTTCTCGCCTTTTCTATTTTCTCTCTTCCTTTGCTGTTGGAATTACTGTATTGTTAATTATTAGGTAACCCCTTTCGTTTGATGCACCCATTTGGCCATGTTCCAGCTTTAGAGGATGGAGGCTTAAAGCTCTTCGGTACTATTTTTCTTTTAAAATATATATAAATTTGTGAGACGACTTTAAATCAATGTAATAAACTAGTATGGTAGCTAATTTTTAGATTTAAACTTGGAATACACAGAATCAAGGGCAATCAGCAAATACATTGCTTGAACGTATTCTGACAAGGGGATTGAACTCGGAGAGTAAAAGCACTCGTATATTATCGTGGTTGAGGTGGAAGCGCCACCAGTTTGATCCTGTAGCTTCAAAGGTAGTCCAGGAAGTATTATTTTATCAAGCCAATGATAGATTTGGCTACGACCGATGAAGCAGCAGCGAAGGAGCTCCAAGATAGTCGGGCAAAGTTCTAGACGTCTACGAAGCTCGGTTGGGTAGAACTCAGTACCTGTCAGTGTCTATGACACTGAGGGCTCTAAAATACTGGTTTTTTTTTTTTTTTTCTGTTTTGAAGAACATGTCCTTATAAGCAAAGAGAAATCAACAATATGCAGGAGTTTCTAGGATAAGGACATGGAGCTATAAAGGGGAAAAACGTGAAATAGAAGGGTAAGGCTAATAGATAAGGTGAAATTTAGACAACTTTTATGGGATTGCCCAGTGTCCTTATAAAAAGAAAAGAGTAGAGTTGCTATCCAAAAAAGGAAAAGCTAATAAGAAAGCAAAGTTTTGTTTGGATTTATAACAGATTATGATTATCTAATAATAAGGTTTTCTTATGTACTGATAACTGATGGAGGATTCAAATAATAAGGTTTCTTTTACTAGCGTTTCTTTTCTTAGTTTATTGAAGGGTTAAAGTCTTGGTCCCAAATCCTGTATAAATGATGATTTTTATTCTTCATACATTTGTAGAAGCAAACTTAATGACAACTATAAGAAACTTCAAATGTGATTCCAAATAATCTCTCCTTTTAGACATCCTTAATCACATATACTACCCTATAGATAAATCTATATCAATAAATTTATACTAGTTAAAATATCAATATACATAAACTAATACTCCTATATTCTCAAGAATCATTCGACTTTTTCAATCTTTAACAAACATTTTCGTTATTTTTTTCCTTCAAATCTAATTTGATAATTTTAATTCATCCATAAACTCCTTCCTACAACATCTATCAATCCAATATTCAATCTTCTTCAATCCAAATATTATATGCCTTTCCTAATCCCATTAGCTGAAAGGAATATGATCCTGTCAGTCCTACAATTCAGGTCATTATCTTTATTTAAATGAAACTACGCTGTTGGGGGTAATTCATATCTCCTTAAAGATGTGAAATTGTACTGTCAACAAGACCCAAGGAATGTCATAATACTACCATGATGCTAAGCCGACAATTCTGATTGTAAACAATAGCTTATCAATCTGAATATTCTACTCAATCTATTTATGTTCAATCAATTTGAACAAGACGCCTCATTTAATTATCACCTCTACAGTGAGGTTCAAGTATCATGTTTCATTGTCATAAAATACAAAGAATCCTGTACCTTGAAGAAATAATGTTGCTCATAGCAGGCAGAATAGTCAAATGAGACATGATGGATTCATGATATGCACCACAAATGGCTTGAGTTCTGTCCTCCAAACAGCAAGAATGAACAGCTGCAAGATCATTTTCCATTGCCATATAGGTGTGAAAGGTGAACAGATTAGGATTTACCCTCCTTGGCTATGCGTTTGTTGTCCATGGAGAAGCATATCAACTTCAACCACAAAGCACAGTAGCCTCATAACCCAGACTTAGGACTCAGCCCAAGCAGAAAA